AACGTAGGGAGATGGGTGTAGCAAACCTTGGCCGCCGGGAGGGCGGGTGGGAACGCAGTCGAAGAAGCGTCTGCTATGGTTCCCTTGAAACCGTCGTCAGAGACAATGGCAGTAGCAAAAATGGGTAGTTTCTACACAGAGGGCTGCAGTATGCTAATACATATACATGAAAACTAAGAACTTCCTCTTTATCGAGAGTAGTTGTCCGTTGATGAACGTTCGCGCAACCGCCAATGGAACGCGTCCGTCCCGCCCTGCCTTGGGTCTCGCAAGAGGCTCTGACAGCCGTAGCAGCTGGTAGTATAGGCAGATAGTATGGCCGGCCAGAAATGACCTTTCCAGTCTCCCTTGTCGAGACCCAAGACAGGAAGGGACGGACGAGTTCCGTTAGCGGTCGGTGAACATTAATCAACGAGTGTCAATATCCCCCGAATTCAACCGACAAGACAACGAGGTCGCGACTCAATGGTCAGAGAGGTCGCGAGTTCGAGGTTCGGGTGGGACACCACTTGGATCTGGGTAGAAATGGCTGGCGACGGCTAATAAACCAGAAATTACCATTCCAGTCTTTCTGATCTTTGCCGGCAATATTAGTTGCCTATACAAGTAGTTGCCAGTTTATGAGCTCATTGCTCGTGCGGGTTGTGACCTACTGACATCTCATCCTTTGTGCTGGATTATGCTCTGTGTGGACCATTCGTCTGTATCTACTGCAAACGCCCCCAATTATGCGTCACAGTTGACCACAGCGACGCTCAGGTGCTGTTAGCGTTGTTCGAAAGATCTGAAAAAGAAGAACACCATGGTCTACGCAGCAGCTCTGTCGTTAGATACGCGCGCACTAGGAACGACTATAAACCAAACACATGTGATAATGCACAAAATCGGCGATCGATTTGTTGTTTCTGGGCGCTGAGAGTGAAGAAGTGTATGGCAAACTATGTTCAGAAGCCAACCCAACAGGCTGCTGTCCCTTACGGCATCTTATTCCATAAACTGCCGTCATATTTCCAGAAAACCCCCAGCTCGGGCCTCAGGCTTTTTCGCACTGAAGCAGTATTTAGGTTGCTGCCACAACATACTATTTTTGCTTCGTGCTGTCTTGAAATTCCACTCTAGAACTTTTGCTAGCAAACGCTAGCCTAGAAAAAAGACAAATGACTAATCAAATCTGTCTGCCTTGGGAAGTTCGCCGTCCAGATGACAAGTCTGGACATAAAAGTTTGCAAGAAGATAAAAAGCTCATAAAAAACTTAAGGAACTTGCCATTAAAAACGCGTGGTTGAATCAAGAGCAGCAATATAATTGATAACAAAAAACAAACGCAGAATGTGATGCCAAGGGCAGGACTGCTCTATTTCTAAAGAACATTAACTAAAGGTCTCATCGTTTTTAAAGAACATGCATACATTCAAAAAGTAACTTTAGCTTGATAGACTTACCCTGTAAAATAGTTTTGGTGCCTTTGTGATTGGTCAGGTCGGTATCGACGTATCCCGGACAACACTAGGGCGGGGAAGATCAACAAATAATCAGTAATTTAGATGATTTTGCAAAATACGCCTTCTGAACTCGTTATATTCAGGAAAACAAACCCTTTGGCGCGGCCTGAGCCGCTTAAGAACCCTCCACTGGATATCTTCATATCCCTCTATGCTTCCAAGTAGCCAGTTCGCAGGCCGATCAATCGATGAATGTTCACTTTAAGCACCACAAGGCAAGATTATTTGTGGATTCGGGGAAAGAGTCTCGTACCACTAAATTCAGTCTTCGATCGGACATCAAATCTAGGGATCAGTGATAGCCAACGAATACAATACTATGCAGTTGATATATCATGCTGTCACTCATTGAGGGATGTTTACACTCATTGATGAACGTTCACCCGACCGCTAACGGAACTCAGCTTTCCACTCTGCCTATTCTACCAGCTTTTACGGCCGTCAGGACCTCTGGCGAAACCCAAGGCAGAGCGGGACAGATGAGTTCCGTCAGCAGTCAAGTGAGCGTTCATCAATGAGTGTAAAGATCCCGCAACCTAACCCGGCAAGACAACGAGCTAGTGGCTCAATGGTTAGGACAGTTGACTTTGATCAAAATGGTCGCGAGTTTGACGCTTGGGTGGGACGCCACTTGAGTCTGGGTATGACCGGCTGACGACGGCTAATAAGCCATAAATGGCTATTTCAGTCTCCCTTGTCTTTGCCGGTAATACTATCTATGTCATGCTGCAATCAAGGATATTTTTTAATTAAGTTTCAGAAAGGACTCCATAGCTGTCGCAAAATTCAGGCGGAAGCAGAAGTGGGATGAATTTGATTGTCGCCATCGTAGTATCATTACAGAAATGCAAGCGGCTGACCGTCCTCGCCAATGCTAGCAATTAAGTGCTACTAATGTTAAAGCACGATAATAGGGTGTCAATAAATAAATTTGCCAAACCTGCTGTGATAACCGTATTTGCAGTTCTGACCATAACAAAGTACCAGTCGAGTTAATACTCCCCATCTCAAAGACCTGCATATTTTATAAAAGCTGGCGATTCTAGAAGAGGGAAGTGTCGCCGAATTGATGCTACGCACAGACGTTTTGGAAACCATTTAGGTTTCTATGACTCTGTGGTCAAAAACGCAGAATGATTGCAGGTTATCCACTGTCCCTGCCCTGTGAGTGATAAGCGCAATACAATGTTTTCGTTTCCAGTTGTTTGCTGCTTGGCGTACGAATACGGGGAGTAATGGGAGAGATTACATATGACCACTCTAGCACACTTAAACGAGTCTGTACGTCAAATGCAAAATGAGCGACGAACACTCCGGGTTCGTCGTATGATGTTATAAGAAAAACGCCGGGGTCGGGCCTGCTCAGGCGTCCTCCAGATAACAAGCAACACGCTTTATTGCGTAAACGCCTACAGATTTTCTAGGCATAAAGGCGTTTAAATAGCTTCTGAATAATAATACTAACCACATTGATGAGAATTCTGCGTGGATCGTCTTTCAACTGTTCGGCAAGGATAAAAGTGGCTTTCGTGAGGCCGAGTTTGGAGACACCGTAAGCCGATCTCCACCAGCCAGCAGACGCCAAATCGTCCGATTCTGCTCGTCTGGGTTCCAGGCAAAGAAAAAGAAATAGGCATTGGGTTGATCGTGAGCACTTAGGTAAAATGGATGATAAATCCTAACTTCGCGAGACTGTGTTTGGTAATTAAGTGACAACCTTAATATACACGAAGAATAGTCAGGTATTACTTATTCGTGAGCTTCCTTATAACCGCAAACAT